CCCCCCCCGCTCTCTTCACCACGAGAGGTGGTCCCATGCCCCCCCCCCGAGAAATTTCCTAGCTACGCCCCTGCTCTTCACGGAACGGGCACTCCTCTATTTCATTGTGCAATGCCCAGACGCCCCCCCCCCTTCCCCTGGGCGTCGCATCAACATGAAACCAATAAATTGGACCACACTTTGCAAAAAGGTATCCTGCCTCATTTTAGAAACAACATAGACAAAGTATTTCAGACCACCAGGATTTTTCCCAGGTTTTTTGGGCATCGTCCACTTCTTTCGGGAGTTACTTTTAGGAGTTGAATAGATTAATTGGAACTCTTTGGGGTCAGTTAAGGTTTAATTTTGTTGCACTATACAATTTGGATGCAATAATTTGCGTTCGGGAGGGAGCTGCGACTTTTCAAATTCAACCCTACCCCTGTGAAACCTTTAAGGGAGGCTAGAGGTGGGGGGGGGGTGGCTTCGGGACCATGGAATTCGGATTTCTTGGGGTCGATTCCCTTTGCAACTTTACGGTCTCTGACTTCTGCAATTTAAAACAACCGAGAAAAAAGCCTGATACGGTGCCGATTTTCAGTGGGCGAGCAACCGGAGTAGTCCCCGCTAATTTGAAAAGTGGCGCGGGAATTCGTATTTCTAGCCGAGCGCGCCACTGGAATTGGCGGGAACCAATGGAAGTGCAAGTCTCTATACTTCTTCACGTTCGCACTATAACACGCAAATTTTTGTTCGTTAACAAAATCAGTAAACAGTTTACAAAATACGTCATCAAAACAAATTTTCGTTCTCCGGTTGTGATTAAATGGGCAAGGTTTAGCCTTTCCCGCCAAATCGCTCGTATTTAAGTGTAATTTAATTTTCGTCAACAGTTTACAGTTTCGTAGACGTGCTCTGGACCACGTTATCGAACCTGTATTGACGTTTCTGGTTAGAAAGAAAACTATTGACGGTCCAGTATAACAGGCCACCGGGCTCTGATTGGTTGATGAAAATACCAACTTCGTTAACGCAAAGGACAACTGTTTACTTTTGACGTCAACTGATTTCGTGAACAGTTGATGAACGAAAATTTGCTTTATGATGGAGAAGTTGTAAAAAAAACGTGGCTCCTCGTCCTCTTATGAAGTCCTCTCGTGAGTGTTGTAAATGAGACCTTTGAATATTTACGGTTGCTCGTCATTCTTGATTTTTCTAATGAGTGTGAAGTAGTTTTTATTTGCATATCTTAACCACATCCCTCCAAAAAAGATTTAATATGGTGTTCCCTCATTAAACATCCATTATTACAAGTCAACATATCTGGTGCTCTCTCAAAGTATCTGTAAGTTCTCACTGATAGTTCATTTTTTCCTCCCCGCAATTTCACCGGCACTGTAATGTTCGGAATTATCGTGGCCTTTACATTCCAGGAAGCTTCAAACCTTCAATTTAGGTTCGTTAACCCTAGTCTGCCTGAGCCTCTGAACCAACGAGAAAGCCTGAGCGGGGTCAATTAGACCCCAGCTGAAAATCAATTAGTTAGCTATGTTTTTTTTCATGTTTTTAGTTAATATCAGTGCACTAACCTTACAGGCCTTAACCATAAAGCATATCCACCAAAAAACTAAAAAACCGAAAAACACGGCGCGGCGTATGGTATGCAACCATTTTATCATACACATGTTGCCATGTTGTTCTCAGCATGAGAAAGAAAAATCATAGGGCTATACTAAATACTGAAAACGAAAAAAATCTGAAAAATTTTGCTTGTTTTATAAGTTTCTGAAAAAAATTAAAAAGAGAAAAATGAATACACCTTCAAAGTAAGCTTTTGTGATGCCAAATGGTAAAATATATGTTATAAGGATATCTGACCCCGCTCAGGCTTTCTAGGGGTACTCGTGAATTTTTTGATCTCTCATGCACTTTTTTTTTCCTTCAAAATCGTGTTCCTATATGTCTTTGTAGAGCTATTTGTGAAGGACAAAAAATGTCGTGCATACCACGAGGAATGGCAAAGAGTTGAAACTCCCGTGTGGTCAATCTGACCCCACTCAGGTAGACTAGGGTTAATCAATTATTCGCTATTTACCACCAGGGATTCAATCATCAAGTTGTGGTCTACTTACTTCAAATGAGGGGCTTGGAGAAGAAGGCGCATTAGTGCAGTTTTTCCAATTTCAAGAAATACGTGTTTGAAGTTTCGAAATTACACAGATCCTAATGGCGGAGAGAAAGTTCAAACTGATTTTTCGATGCTTAAAAATTAGAATTAGGGAGCGATTTTTTACAGAATATGCATTAAGGCCTAGTTTTACTTGAAATCATTAATATTTCAATTTTTTCAAAAACTGCACTTATGCGCCTTGTCCTCCAAGTCCCTCAAATGTCTTTTAATGTCAACGTCTCATCAATTTATTCACACTATAAGTCACCTTAAAGAGGGTTGTCACAGATGAGATATACTTAGAATACTTCTTGCCCAGAAGTAAGACTATGGAAAGGTTTCATTCAAATTCCGAGTTTAATCTATCACATAGTAACTGATGGGGACCGGCCAAAGTTTGATTTTCCTATGATGACCATGCATTAAAAATGGTTGATTAATTTCATGCCTGAGATATTGCAGATTCATACGCATATCCCTCGAGGCTTAGTAACAGGGTGAATTAAATTTTGTTTGCAGCCTTGTAGCCTAGGCTTTTGTGAGAGAAGTAAAACAGGAGAGTTGCGATCTGACGATAGACCGACAGAAAAGACTAACAATGAGTTGCAGTCCGAATGCAGGGCCTAAAAAGAAATTGAACACTAACTCGAAGTGCGTTATACTTGCATTCCGTCGATATGAGTGATATAAAACAAATAATTTTGGTAAACTGGCGCAGGTTCATCGGTGAAAATTAAAAAAATACCTACTCGTAATTATTACTTACCCCGTTTATACCTCCTGAAGTCGTCATACATGCTGAAGCCTGCTGCCACAGATCCATTCACGTAAATTTCTCTTTTTATATTTTCCGCAATTGTTGACGTCCATTGAAATGTCTGGGCTGGAATAAAACGACATTTCATAAGAGAAAGATATTCAAGGCGTTTTAGTCAAAACGTGCCGTTAGAAATGAGATTGAGTTGAAAATGAGCCAAGTTTTGAAGAAAAGAGGATACGAGATCCTAATCGAGAAATAATTATTGTTTCATTGCTGTTACATATTGACGGCGGACGGCGGAGCTGCAAAAACGCTTACCTCGTTTTTCTGCTCCCATTTCGCCTTTGCAAAGGAAAACGACCTCACCTAACTTTGTTCGGTGACTTGGTAGCAGGTAAAGTGATTTCACCTGATTTTTAGGTGACATCACTGATTTTGGGGTAACATCATTTCACCTAATTCAAACCTATCATTGTTTTACGCCGTTTTACGGCGGAGAACAATGACACCCATCTCTTTATGAGCCACCCCGCCCGGCAAAATTACGTTGTGGCAACGTTGCCAAAACGTTGCAATTTCGCCGTTTACGTATTCGGGCAACGTTGTGGTAACGTTGCCACAACGTGTAATTTTGTCAGCTTGCATGAACGTAATTGGCAATGTGTCTGCAATGTGTTTTAGCAACATAATGGGAATGTTGCAAAAATACGTTTTAGCAACATAATGGGAATGTTGCAAAAATACGGTGAAAAAATTTCGGTGATTTATTTAAGGAGTACTCAGCATTTTTACGCCTAGAATTCAATGTGGACCGCAAAGAAGTGTTTCATAGGCACCCGAGATTCACTCTAGGTCCGATAGTAGCCGCGCTCCGCCCGGGTTCCCAAACGGGCTCCCATCGAAGTACTAACTACGCCCGACGTTGCTGAACTTCAGTGATCGCCCGTGTGTCGCTGCCACTCAGCTACGGACGCTCGCGTGAGAGAGATTGGTTATTTAGCATTAATAAACATCCCTAGATCTGGTTCAATGATAGAAAGCAATGATATTCTTGCTTTTCTGTGCATAATTCTACAACGAAGGATACTGAACATAATATTAGGAAGATCAAGTTTTTAAAAAAAAAAGGAGTATGAAAAAAAAAATTAAAAAAGAATTGAATAAATATAGTCATTTTATATAAATAAAATTATTATTATTTTAATTATTTATTTAATTATATTATAATTATTTTTTATTATTATAATTATTTGTTATTTTTATTTTGTATTAAATTATCTTCTAATTATTTATATTTATTTTTATTATTTTATTTTTTATTTTTAAATTATTTTTTTATTTTTTTAAATTTTATCTTCATTTGTATATTTTTATTGTTAATTTTTTTATTTTTTTAATTATCTATCAATTAATTTTTGTTTATTTTTGTATATACATATACATATTTTTGCGACATCGTATGAGGGCGCATTCCCTTATATTGATTGGAGAAAATCATCTGTTGAGAAACAACAGAAAGGAGAACACCTGAAACAGTGTAAAAGTGTCCCCTCCGATTTGCAGCACAGCATCTGCCTGACCTCATATCTGAGTTCTACGACCAAAATTACACAGGGATTGATACCTCACATGACACTATATGCGCATTTAAAAAAACCGAAATCGCAGAGGCCTTATTATGGCCGCCATTTTGAAATTTAGGCATTTTGGGGGGTGTTCCGGGGTCGGACCGTGGTAAACTTTTAGTATGTTGTTCAGGAGGACCTACTGATGACGTTTACATAGGAAAAGTTTGTTAAGCAATTTGTTCCGGGTCAAATCGTGTTTCTCCCTGACTAATAATGTTTAACAACGTTGTCACAATATATCTAAGAATTATTTATTGAAACGTTTTTTAATAATGTTCCAGAAACATTTCTAAAAACGTTTTGAAAATATTGTCTAAAATATAATATCAGGCAACATTGCTGAAACATTGCTTAAACGTTGCTGCTTTACCTTTACAAAGCAATATCATCAAAAATGTTGCCTTGCAACGTTGCGGCAACGTACACATTGCTCCCTTGCCGGGCGGGACGGACGGTTAGCACAATCATGCTCTCATCATCGCATAGTGGATCGAGTCAGTCAGAGAGGTCGGACATGAACTTTTTGACTATAACTGCAAATTTTGATGTTATTTATTCCGTCACATTTTAAATTCCAAGGGGTATTCCTACAAGAAAATTTCACGAGAAAACCAATAGACCTACCTTTAGGACCTCAAAATTTTGCATAAACAGAGTTATAAGCTTAAGGTTTCAAAATTTGGTCGGATCTCTCCTATTGACTCGATCCACTGAGCGTCGCCGATCTGAAATCGGGGTGCATCTGATTTCCAGATGAGCCCCAATAAAAAGCATGGATTTATACGTAAAACACGGCTCACGTGGAAATTGAGTCACGCCCTTACGGCGGAGCATAGGGGCGACGTCATGTAACGCCCGAAGCCCGCTCTTTTTCTTCTTCCTCTACTTTGTGATTACTTATAAAATATTTCTTAAGGTATTTATCGAAATTAGAGTTTCTGTGTACGGGAGAGTATTGCCATTTCAATCCTTTTACTATAGAAAAAGTGTGCCGCTCTCTAATTGGTCGGCTATCATGGAACCTCAAAGTTGGCCCAATAAGAACAAACCCCAGCCCCTCCGCTCTTATTGTTAGTTTGGCCCAATGTAAACAAACAAGACGGCAAAAAAGTTCTATAAAGTTCTAGACGTGATTTTGGGTGTGATAGAAATTTTTTCATATCCAACTTCTGAATTTATTTCGGGTCGAACTTTGATGAATATTTTTGCCAAAAATTAAGCTTTGAGTGTGATTATCATTCATTTCTCAGCCAATAATACGTGTTCCTCTGGGTCGGGTTTGTTTACACGATGACCTAAAACTGATGGACTAATCATAGAGCGACACAAAGATGGCAATACTCTCCCGTATACAGGTACTCTAATCGAAATACCTTTCGGTTTAATCTAATCAAAGAAATATTTCTCGGTTGTAATTTTCAAACATTTTCCGAGAGTAACGAGGGACCTTTGAAGATTCATACTTACTCTTGCGAATGTCTTTCTCGAATGTCTTCTTGTATTTCCCGTTGGTGCATTTTTTCGGACATTCGTATTCCTTCATTGGAATTTTGGAGCAGTTTTGTAGAGCCACTTCGCTACCGGTTCCTAGCATGGACTCACCCACGTGCGAGCAAGGTGGTGGCTCAAATGGTATGCATCCCTACAAAAAATTATCATATCAAGGATGACCAGCGGACAAAATGCGAATGAAAGTAATTTATCTTACGTCAATGTCTAAACTCTAGAAATACGTGCATTATTTAGTGAAGTTTTCCGCAAGTTTCATTTTTTTAAAAATTTTTTTTATTTTATTTTTTTTTCTAGAGAATTTTTTCTAGGATAAATTTTCAAAATACATATGCTATAATCGATTAAAAACATGTCATGAGAAGGAATGTTCAAAGTTGCAATTTGAGATGCGTGCTTTAAAAGTGTTACACTACGATTGGGTTGTCACCTATCCTTGTTGATGGGTTGATGCACAAGGAAACAAATTCTCCGAGACGAAAAACTCTTGAAAAGAAAGTTGGAACCATGGCGCAGAATTACAGCGTGTGCATCTTCTACCCAGCCAATTGAATATAACATATTTGTAATATACTAACCTTCCCTCCTGGATGAGCTTTCATTTTTTATTGCTCCACACTCTCATCGCCGTTGTTGACCAACTGCAGTCAACACAAGAAATTAAAAAAAAAAGCTCACCCATAAAGAAAAAATTAATGCCGTCGATTAAAAGCTCAATGGATCGCGAATATATTGTATTTCATTGGCCAAGTTCTCGGTAGTTCTGGTCTCACTTTTCGTTAAAGAGTTTTTTGACCCAACCTGAATCGTAATCTCTCCAAACTTCCCGCCTAATTTTCCCAAAGTTTCGGGGGGAAACTTTGAAGAGGGGGCCTCTTCAGTTGTCAGCCTATGCGCCGCCACTCTTAGATGACTTTCCAATATTGTTGAATAGTATGATGATAGCTTTGATTTAAATGCTTCCATAAACGCCAAAAAACTCTTCTTGTGTTTTATAATTTATCTCAGGGGAAGAATTTGACTCGTTTCTGCTAAACGGAAAGCGCTGCCAATTTTAGGTCATTTTGATGACATAGAGCACATAGAGTCGTAATGCGTAAATGGGAGGGCTGGTGCCACATGCATTTAAGCATTTTTCAGGTCCTGAATGCCGAGACTCCTGTGTCACGCCGGGTCACTTTTTCGATACATCATCGATAGCTGTCGATACATGGGTACCCGGCCATCTGATGGAAAGGAAGAGGATAGGAATTACTACGTATTTTATATCGCCATTTTGGATGGAAAATGTATCGAAAAAGTGACGGAAGCGCGGCGCACACCAGGCTCAGAACTCGTTGACCAGAACATGGCACCAGCTCTCCCATTTATATTACGGCTCTATGTACTCCATGTTTGATGAGGATTTTAGAATCCTGGTTAAGACGTTCTGTCAAACGAAACTGAGCGTCATGGAAAAGCATTAATTGTGAGAATTGTTTGTTGTTGTTGTCATAGAACGGAGTGAGCTCCGCAGTCCGCAGCAGCCCGCAAATCCAACCCCTCTTTCCCTACGCTACCATCCAACGCAAAAACGCCGTAAATCCATTTCAGATTTTAAAATTATTTTCTAGACAAAATGCTACGTCACAAGAAAACCTGGCCACATTCATGCTCCATGTTTTCATTCCAACTTGCCAATGGTATAACAAAGTCATTCCGAAATTTCAAAGGATGGATGTTTGCAGCCTTTCTTGCTGTGAAGCATTTTGTCTGAGAAAAAGTTGGCGAATCTGAAATGGAGACACAGCGTTTTTGCGTTGGACGGCAGTACGACGCTTAGTTCTGTTGAGCAGAAATACGTCCAATTATGTTACACAGTGAAACTTTGTCTTGACCGGCACTTACTCTTTTGGGTTTGAAAAGACCTCCAGTTGTTGTGCCTGATTCGTTCAAATGTTTGATAGCCGTCCAAATGAAGCCGCCTTCTTTGCAAGAACCATAGCAGCCTAGAACTTTTTGTGCCGAGAGTAAGGCTTTGGCTTTTCCGTTGCTTTTTATGCATATGCGATCCGCCAATGTTGATGCCGCTACGATAGCCTGTGAATAGACAAATGAAATGATCAACAATTAATTAGTTCATAATGGACCACTAGATAAGGTACGAATTTCAGCATTCTGATACATGTTTCTTAACCAAAATTTCACGTAAAACACGATGCACACAACGAAATTTACCGAAATGAACTCCTTACGAAGATTTTAATGATTCTTGATGCGTGAATTCAAACCACCCGCTCATGAAAACTCAATGCTCTACGTGATTCACATCGCGCGCTAAACGTTATCATGACAGTCTTCACGATATACAAAGCTGGCAACCTCAATCTTGACACTTTGGCTCAGCTGTAAAAAATTGCTTACAGTTTGAACAACACATGGTGGGAAATGAACATTACTCGATTGAGGAGCTTGTTGAAACCGTTGTAGTGCGCAATTTGACTTACGTAGACCTTTGAGTTTCTCGTCAGCGGGCAGCTCAAATTCCTCGTGACCAATGTGAAATAAAAACGTTGATATCTTTGTTAGGAGTTGGTTTCAGTCATTTTAGTTGCGCGAATCGTGTTCTGCGTGAAATTTTGGTTAAGAAACATGTATCAGAATGCTTAAATTCGTACCTTGTCTAGTGGTCCATTCTGCAGTTTTGGTAGAGTCATATCTACAATATTAATTACTAGCAGGAAACCCGTGCTACGCACAGGAAACCCCCACCATCAGCAATCACTGTGATTAGTGATCAGTTACTAATTGTGTTTCTGAATTATCGTCTACTATTTCAAAATTGGCGAGACACACTGGTTTGATAAAAAAGTAGAAATTAGTAGTATGCTGCTATTTTGGTCTGTTCTTCAGTAAGCTCATATGATAATTGTAATAATCAAAAATACCCAATCAAAAGTTGGTTATTTTCATAAAGATTTGATACTTTTGTCAGTTCAATGTTTAATTGAAGTTAGCTGGTGAGTTTCAGCCGCGAAAATTACGGGATTTAACCAGCGGTTTCGTTTAATTCTCAGCAATGGCGGGTTTGTCATCTACATCGCGGAGAAAACTTGATTTTTCCAGGGATTTTGTAAAACAAATTAGAAATTACACGATATCACGGCAAATACGTCGTGTTCCTAGCGAATTTCTAAGATCATTATAATTAATTGCGAGTTATTCACATCAATATCGTGGCATACACGCGAATTTCTGACTCAATTAAGACTACGTAAATGTGCGCATACAACTCATAAACATCTGTTGCTTGGGATGGGCGGAAACGTATGATTTTCCTTCAATTTTGTATGATACCACATACCCACTCCGGAGTTCAAACAGTTTCTCGCTTCATTTCAAGCAGGTGAAGAATGTCGGAGCGATGTTCTGTTTGCTCCGCTGTCGCTGTCAGCACCGCGACTACAGGCGCAGTGTGACCGAGCCGTCAGCACAGTATAGAACGCCTTCAATCTAGCAAGCGGCAATGTGCGCAGAGGAGACCAACGAACTACACCTCTAGAATGGCCGCGAGATAGCAAACCTGCGTAACGCGCATGGGCCGGTTTTTGAAGGCAGGAGGGGGGTGGGAGCCCAAGTATAGCTAAGCTCAATCTCCATTTCTGCTGCGTCTTGCCCATAAGGATTAAATGTGAAAATTTCAACCTTTGTAAACTTTCATTTTTTTGAGGTTTTCTTTCAAAGTTCCTATTTTTTGAGTAAAGAAAACCTTTTGAGGTGCGATTGTTCAGCAATCTTTTCATTACTATCACTTTATTCAACAATAATCGGCAAAATGTGGGCAGCGTCTGACATGGGTTTAGATGGCAGCCTGCTGTGTGAGCCCAAGTAAACCTAACCTATATCAACTTCAAAACGTTCCAGGTCTCTAACACTGGTCAGCCATTCTAGAGGTGTAGTTCGTTGGAGGAGACCAATGCCATAGAATAAAAAGACTACGTCAGTCTCTTTATTCTATGCCAATGAACAGACAGATTTTCCAGATTTTCACATCTCTGAGAGGGTAGCCCGGCAACGGAGGCACGAGTCGGAGCTCGCAAAAATCATGGCGCGGCGTTTCCAACAGCGCGACGCAGAACTCGTTCCATCTTCCTCGCACTCGTTGGACGCCGAACTCCTTCCATCTTCCTCGCACCCGTTGCGCGCACCAGAAGAAGACACGTAAAATTTATCAGCTGTCTTCCAGCGCGGGACGCGGAAATCGCTCCATCTCGCTCGCACTCTCTCTCGCACCCGTTGTCCTTACGGGAAAATCGACCCGCGCGGACCGCGATATCCCGCGAACCGGCGGGCGGATCGCGAAATCCTCCCTTATCCGGCGCCTCGGGGTAGAGAGGGATCCCAGTGCGGAATCTCAGGGTCACACGGCCTCCCGTTCACGAGATCCGCTGATACGTGAGTCAGTGAGTGAGTCAATCAACGTGAAGTCTGCTTTATTAGTATAGAAGATTTTAAATTCCTGAGACAATCGTTTGGACATGCTCAGACTCTTGAGAGAACCCTCGGATGAGGATTATTTTCCGTTTTAAGTGGATCCGAGATTCATTCGCCCCTAGCATTCATTCGCCTCATAGCACAATTAGCACACTAAAAAAGAAGATTTTTTTAAAGGAAATTGACGAACTGTTATTTTTAATTTTATGTGAATTTTCTTCACTCGCACAAAAATATTCTCAGTAAATTTTGAGGTTACGTTCGGTTAGTTGCCTTTAAAAAAAGTAACCATGATCGGAGAATTTGAAACGTTGCGATTAAGATTGTTGACCTTAGCGCCTCAGCCATCGATGAATCAATGTAAAAGTCTCGGGCTCTCGGGATCTGATAATTTGAGGAGTAGGTAATGTGTGTTGTGTGTGCCTGCTTATTTGATTGAAGGCGCAACATATCTCGTATAGCTCGCGCTTGAGAACTACCACTGGTTCGAAAGGCGTAGTTCGCCTTAATTCTGGCGTTTGGACTGCAAAATCACTCCCTACGCCTCAAAATAGTCGTCTCCTCAAATCCATGTGAAATTACTCTCTTGATACACCCGTCCATCGCTCATGAAAGAAAGAAAGAAATTCTGGAGCGATCCGCTTCCTTGTGATATAATCGAGGCCAAGTAAACATTTTTAGCCTCTCATAAACGTGACAAATTGCCTCGCGGTCTCGTGTGAGAATATGAAGTACGCAGATCAGTTGCATCAATCTTTTTAAAAATAACTTTTGAGTAAAAAATTAGTGTGGATAGTTTAGGTTTCTTTTAATCATTATTAAAATATGGGGTCGAGATCCGAAATTACAACAGTAATACCTTGATTAGGAGCTATTTTCAATAATCTTAGTTGTGCAAATCGTGTTCTACGTGAAATTTTTATGAAGTAACTTACTTCATAGTGCTGAAAACCTTGTAGAAATGTTAAAAGCGAATACAGGACACTCTTATTATTTACTTCGTTGCATCTCTGAAGTAAGAGCGCAATTGAATTTTCAGGTGAACCCCGGAAGCAATTAGATACATGTACATGATACATGTACATGATACATGTGCATTAGATACAATGGGGTTCATCCTAAATAAAACTAAGTCCTTACGTCAGAATTTCCGATAAACATTGAAAACTTTTAATAAGTTCTTTTACGTGATACAAAAAATAATAGTGAGAGAATTCTTATCGTAATGCGTGATTCCTTGTCAAGTGTTACGTTATACCTCGGCGAAATTTTTAAAGAAAAAAAGTATAGCACTGACGTTTCCATTAGGGACTTACGTAGTCGGAGCGGCAAGGACCACCATTGTAGATGGAACCGATGAAACGACTGCACTTTTTCCACTTTTGTCGTGCGTCAAACTCTGCAGGAAGATCCTCAACTTTCTGTACTTTCCTCACCATGTCCTCCGTCAGGCGCGTCTCCAAAGAGGAACCATGAGCTAATTCGCTCAGCACGTCCGACATCGCCTCTTGAGGATGATTTTCGGGGGCTTCGGCGTGCCATTCCTTCAAAATCCTTTGATTTCCTTCGAATTTGTCCAATTCCTGTTAACATTTCAACTACATACTCTCATTCATTCCTTCAAAATGGTCATAATCAATGGACGCCTATTCGCGCTCTCCGGTATGTTCGTTGCCGATGCGGCAAAATTGAAGGCGGTATTTAAGAGGACGATATCACTCTGCCAATAGATTTATACTGTACGTCCATTGGTTCTAGAAAATTTTATGGTGGGGTATTCTTCGTTGTTCTTCATTTTGTCTCTCCTTTTTCCCCGCATCTTCATTCTTTCCTCTCATTTAAACGTCTTTCTTGCGATGGCACCAGGAGAGTCGCACCTCATATGCGACTCTCAATCTGGCCCTGATGCAGTCGAAACCGGAGCCGGCGAGCCCCTTTCTCAACCCTTTTACTCAAGGGCGGATCCAGCAATTTGGCAACAACGGATTCCCTCCATTTAAACCTATGTAAAATAATCGATTCTTGTCGGGGCAATTGGCCCCTCTAAGAATCGATAAATTTCCATAGGTTTAAATGAAGGAAAAGAGTGTCGCCAGTTTGCTGGATCCACCAATGCTTTTACTGACAGAATATATTCACAGGATATTCTCTAGGTGAACAGAAAATCATCCAAGTTTTCAAAACATGACGTTAAATAGGTCTCAATGCAAAAAATCTAGTGCAACGTCCTAAATCGAGATCCGAATTCCTCAATTTTCACCGTCGATATGGACCCAGTTAACAGAAACGGACCGAGTCACATTTGGAAACTAATGACAATTAAGGGGCTTGGAGGACAAGGCGCATAAGTACAGTTTTTGCTAACTCGAGAAATACGCGTTGGAAGTTTCGAAATCATACGGATCCTTACGGCAAAAAGAAAGTTCAAACTGATTTTTTGATGCTTAAAAATTGGAATTTGGGAGCGAATTTTTCACAGAATATGCAATAAGACTATAGTTCCACCTGAAATTATTAATATCTCAAATTTCTCAACAACTGCGCTATGCGCCTTGTCCTCCAAGCCTCTCAATTATTACTATTATTTATATAATTTTGTATGAATAATTAAGTACATATTATATTATGTATAATAATTATCAGTAATTACAAATTCAATTACTCGAAAATTCTCGTCTGATTAAAATACAAAATCTCGAAAATTTATTCTGAAATTAAAATTTTTGTTAAGCTTTGTTCTCATCATTAAATCTCATGGGGAAATAAAATGTCAAACCTATTTTTCTCATGTTAAACTCCGACCATTAGTAAAATTTTGCGCAAATGATACTCGTGAAAACTGGACGTGAACTTTATCGGCACGAAAAGAGTGCATGAAAGTTAAAAACTTAGGAAGGGATCATTCACCAATTTTGAATACCCCATCCTGGTCTGTGTAATAACTGTCGTTCTTTCTTCTACTTACACCCAATTTCATGGAACAGTAACTAAACTACGCAGTATTATAATCGTGTTTCATTTTACTGCACACAATCTCCGCGCATCAGGGGCTTATCCGCGAGTTATCAGAAGTAAGAACTCGACCTTAATTCACAGAAAATTTCGAGATCATGCTTACTTTCACTCATAAGCTGTTTTCCAACAATTGATTCGTTGACATCAAGGGATCTTATTGAATTGAGTGTAAGCTCAGATCAACCTCAATACCTAGATGATTTCGAGAGCATATTTGTATTTACTTGTACTCGAAACTATTGTTTCGCGACTTGTGAATCACTGAAGCTGAGATTGACGGTGCCGAGAAACTTACGGCGCAGAGGCTCAGTTGAATATGATGCCTGACGCAGAGAAATAGAGCTTCCAGTATCAAAAGGGCACAAAGTCACTTGCTGCGTGTCACTTTCAGTGAACCGATTAAATACCGTAACTTTTATGGCATAATTTTTTTTAAGCTTAAATGAGAGCCTGGGACAAGAGTGTGGCAAGGCCTCATCTGGAAAATTTCAAGAATCAAGGTCAATATTATACTAGCCGTTCTGGACGCGCAATGCGCGTCCCTCACGGCCAGCCAAGGGGCTGCGCCCCCTGGACCCCTGATCACTCGCTGCGCTAGTGACATTCGGCTCGCTCCGCGAGCCATTTTTCTCAGTGATTGGGCATTTGATCACTAAGATGTATACATTTTGGAGACTCTGGAGGCAAAAATGATTTCGTCACAGAACCTTGTTGCCGGAGCGTGCCATCATTTGCACATGAATAGATGTGTGGAGATGAAGCGATGATGGGGATCGATCATTTCTTCAAAAACGCATTTGACTGGGACGTCATCCCATCGGGTGGCGGAAAAAGACAATCCATGGATCTCCTGCTGCGATTTGACTTACTGAAGTAGCAAAAGTTCATCTTTACGTCTTAAGATTATCGGTGGCGTATAGGGGTCTAAAAACTGCTCAACGATAGTATAGTTCGAGTTCCGAATCGCAATGAGCCCACTCGTGTTTTTTTCTTATACTTTCATCGCATATAAATTTCTCTGATGTTTTTGTTTTACTCTCTCTGATCGCATATTAGTAATCATATCCTCATTTCATTTCCTTTCCCTTTCTGTAGCATCTGTGTCCATTTACAATTATTATTTTAAAATAGCTTTCCCCTAGAATACAATTGATGCTTCAAACGGAATCACTTGTTTTAATGACATTTCCGGCTAAATCATGGGTTTTCCCAGGAGGGCAGCCTCTCGTCCCTCCCGGACTCTATTGTTGCCAGATAAGTTGCTATTTTAACACTTTTCCCAATTCAAATCCACGTAAAATATTCACATTTATCGCACAATCTGGCAACCTCTCGAGTGAAATAGAAAAAGGTAGAATCGCTGAAAGTCTGAATCCTTCGAAATTTATATTAATGATATATCAATATAATAATGATAATTATAATAATGATATGCTTCGGATTTCTCAGAAAAAAAATTATCTGCGTCCTTTTGGCGCTAGCTTTGATTCGCCATTATAAGTTCCATTTTTATTTGCGCTCTTTTGGTTCTAGCACCTTCATTGTCCAACTTTAGACATGTTTTTAGGGAATATGGTGAAAGTGAAAGTTAAAATTATCGATACCAGTCCTTGAGTGAATTGTTTTTTAGTTCAGTCATGATTTTTTAAATTTTCAAAATTTGGGAGGAAAATCCCTCCCTCAGATCCCCAAAATGTAATTTCTGCCAATCAGGCCCGCCAAAACNGGGGGGGGGGGGGGGGGGGGATACTGAGTCCCTGGTACCGGGGCCCAATGATACCAAGAAGCTAGCTGGAGCGTTCCATCATGAATACCGTTATGCATTTCTCCATGATACGTACAAACCCCCACTTGATCTCATAATCCCTACTCGCGCGCATGTAAACACACTTCAAAATTCAAAATTCAGCCGATGCTTTTTCTACGTGCTCCAAACTTCGATACCTCCTTGTTCTACAGCTTATGTACTATAATTCTTTCCTCGTAAAGTATATCTCACTATGGAGGGGGGTAAACAAATTAGACGAAGGAAACAGTAGAGCAAAAGAAATGCTTGAAGCAAGCTCATTTTTTAACATTTTATTTGTATTCATCAGTTGTCCGGCAATTTTCTCGCTACATCTCATTTCTCATTTCGCAGTCAACGGTTAGCTGCACATATAGGTACGACGTATTAAAATACTCTCATCCATATCATCACTTTCCAGCCAAAGTGTCAAAAGCGCTATGCGACGTTTCAAAATTGCCGCCGCCATTTTATTTGTTTACGGAGAAATTGTTCAACGAAGCTGTCCAAAAATTTCATTAAGGGGCTGTTGTCTTGACTCTCAGTATAAAGGGACTCTACTTTGGCCGGAAGGTGACGATATCACGAATGGGAGGTTAATTCTCATACCTTAGAGAGATGGCTTACCGCATGTTTGTGCGCGAGAAAGTTTGTATCTTGTTCCTTTTCTACGGTTTCTGCGAATTGGACGGTTTGAATTATGACACAAACTATCGTCGTTGAAACAACCAAGTTTAATTCTTTGAACATGATGAGTCTGCAAAAACACAAAAATAGAAAATGCGGGTAACTTGCTCGAGGTTGAAGAAAAATTACCTTATTATTTCTATGCGTTTTGATTCAGGTAGAGTTGAGAGGAGAAGAATCCTTGTTTCGCTCATTGGAGATGTCAAATCTACCACTGAATTCCCTCCGTCGGTGAATATACTCTCATTAATATACATACGTACCTCAAGGAGGAAAACAAACTGTTGCCCTTACAATTCTCATGTTGGATTCCTTTTACTTTTCTATAGTCGTGCCTTTCTACGCTTATCTTTGTGGTGACCATATTTTTCGGTCTCGATAACGATGCTGCATTTTTACTAGGAAATAGGTAATAAATCATTTTCACCATGAATTAACATTTTTAACTACAATTCAAGAAACTTTGGCAAAACCTGGAATCCACACACTGCAAGCATTAAAAAAGAAACGATTCTCTCTCCTCCACGTTATAGGTACCTCTTCTCTGCTGCATTCGTAATAATCATTACTTACCTATAGATCATTTCAAGCTTCAAAGACATAGTGCACGATTATTAATAATGAATAAAAATTTTACGAAAATTTCAGCGATTAGGCAATGTGCATGTGCTGAACTGACCCCACACAGACAAATACCACAGTTTTGATTTGCAGGTAATTTCTCATGAATTTCGAATAGGTACTCCCTTCACTGTCAATTTATTCAAATAAAGTGTGGATTCATGTGCGTGCGATACAAAATTTATGGAAGAACCAGGGAAAAATTCTATAGTTATTGAAAAGAGAAAAGTGTTCTTTACTCACGTAGTCCGGTTAAATCTTCCAATAACACCGTAAAAAGACTGTTCACGAATCTCTGAAGAAGCTTACGAAAAACCTGATACGTTTTAAGTGTCACTTGAGATATCTTTTATATTGGGTTGGATACACCTACTCAAGATTTACCGTGAGTTGGATCACACAATTATATCTGTTTAACGGTTTTTCACCATCTTCTGATGTACATGGAAGTACGTAAGATAAGTAGTATAATTTGAGGATATGTTTTGTATAAACTTGAGAGAGGACAATGTGCATAAGTGCAGTTTTGGAAAAAAATGAGATATTAACGATTTGAAGTAAAACTTAGTCTTAATTACATAGGTATTCTAGGGAAAATTCGCTCCCAAATTCCAATTTTTAAGCATCAAAAAGACAGTTTGAACTTTCTTTCCGCCATAAGGGTCTATGTAACTCCGAAACTTCGAACACACATTTCTCGAAATGGCAAAAACCGCACTTACGCGCCTTCTCCTCCAAGCCCCTCAATACTTTTTCGGAATTTTGTTCAGTATATCGATGATCATGGAACTATTAAACCACGTAACTATAGGTTTGCGATGTTGCAAACTTCTCGCACGAAACAACCATACTGCCGTGCTAAGGAAAAACGCCGTATGAAAATTCTAGAGTTGCCCAATTTCCTTTGCTAAAATGTTTATTTTTAAGGACATTAATGAATATTTTCCTCTAAAATTCTCAGGAACTTTGGGTGAAATTCCAAACAAACTTATCTGAAAAATTGGAAGAAAAATATTCATAAGCTTACCAGGAAATTTGTGTTTTATCATAGGCAATTTGGCTACGCCTGAAGGCTCATACGGCGTTCTTCCTCAGTAGGGCAGCATAGTCAGCCTAACTGCCCTAGTAGCAGAACCATAGAAGGAAAAGATAAATATTATGTACGAAAGTTAATTTTTTTTATATAATGTATGCATATAAAAGTGTTGAAAGTGAACATTTTTATGTTAATAAATAATTTTCCTGAGTTTTTCGCGAACATATTAAAAATTCTTCTAATTCCCAAAAATCTCACGAAAATGATGACCTATTTTTTTATATAATGGTTACATAAAAATGTTCACTTTTAACACTTTCGTATGCATGCGTTATATAAAAAAATAAAAAATGTGTGTATAAAAAAAAATTACCGTATCTAGCTTTTACCATTTTTCATGTATTACGGTCAGGTCTGAACTTTGATTTTTTTTTATATAAGCGTTACACCTTTTTTATATAAAACGATCATTTAGATAACAGATATGTTTTTTTTATACTTTTTTTAGAAAAACAAAAATTTGTTCTGCTACTAGGGTGCATTTTACGTAGGCTAATTTCTTCCCTTATTTTATTTTTTTTTTTTTTTTAGAGGGTAGAGTTAATAAAATAGTGCTGTGAAATACCTTATTTTCTATGAATAATCTCTAGATGAGATTGAATTTACCCGAAAATTGTCAAGGCAGAGTCCTCATTATTTTTGTGTCAAACGAATAAAATATGAAAGACAATAATCAGACAACAACTGATGTAGTTACACTGCGATTTCGTTTAAATGTGTTAAAATGATAGTGATTGGACCAGGCTCGGACTGGCCGTAAGGTCAATCTGTCATTGGCAGATAAGCCCCCTTGGCGCGCCGAAAACGTGTTCCTCTGACAGATAGCAAAAATAAGAAGAGAAAAAAAATTACGACCGAAAATATATGCGGAAAATTTCTTAAATAAATGGAGGGAGAGAGTTAGAAATTAAAGAAAGATGCTTTTACGCATGATAGTGGTGAACAGAGGTAAGGACTACTTTCTGAAGCATAAACACTTTCCTGTGAAATTTTCACCTGCTTGTTGACATACAGGGCGCTTTATCATATCTCCTACTTCAGTCGCTATGTATGTAACTCCCTCAGAAGCGATGGTAGGTTCGATTTTCAGGCATGCGCACCCTTTATAGACCTCTTGAGAGACCTTTAAACATATTTCTTCCTTTTCAAAATGACTATTGATTTGGATATACCATAGCATATCTCGGGTAAACTTAACCTTAATTTATCTCGAAATTCGAAAATAAGAGACATCTAAAGTGTAAGCACGATACGACTATTTGCGTAAGATGGATGTCCACCAAATGTCCACATTGCATATGAAAAATGTAAGACGCGATGGCGTGAGCCGTAAACTCGCAATGCTCTGCTCTATGCTACTTTAGTTTGAAGCACCATTACGAATAACACAAACGCAAACAAACACAATATGGAAATAAAGCGAGGGAAAGGATGCGCGTTTACGACGGCGCAGAGATACAACTATTCGTACTTGACGGACGTCCGTGCTGCATCTGAAAAACTGAAGGCGCGATGACGCGAAGCGTGAGCTCTCAATGCTCTACTGTAAACTGTCAATGAGGTGTCGGCCAGATTCGGGAGAAAAGTTAAAAAAGAGGCCCGAATACGTCTTTCTTGTCTTCGGCTGTGTTGATACTCGTTCTTTCTTCTTTTTTCAGGTTCTTGTCTGATTTTTTTAGGATGGATTTACAGACCCACCCACACCTTAAGCTCGTGTAAACCGCAGCTCGGTTCTTTTGGGAATAATGGTGCTTGGATGCGTCAAGTGGCTTTAATTTTTCATGTTTTCTTTAATTTCAGAAGTCTGTCGGTTACTTCAATACGTTCAATTTTAAATTTTTTCCCTGCACGATAAATAAACTTTGAGCCTGAAAATAACGCAAACTTGTGCTGCTTCCCCAAAATTTTCTGAACCCCTCTCTACGTAGGGGATGCCCTACCAGGAAATATCACATTACGCCCCTTTAACCAGCCCTGTATACGCCCTCAGATGCGAGCCAGCCCGACCTTGGATTGGACATACGTTTCTTTGATTTTTCTTCGTACTTGCAAGAATTTTCTCCGAAAACGTTCTGCATATATGTACCGTAAATATTCTTTGAGAACAAATGAAAAATTTTGAAACACTGGCGAGATTCGTGTTCTCGATGTTCCTTTCAAACTTTCGAAGGTTGTATCACTAGGTATAATATTGTTACAAAACATAGATGTTATGGGTAAAATCGGCTTTTATTCAAATTTCCTCTGTGAAGCACCCGTTAGGAATATGAGGAAGTCAGCCAAGTGAAGTCAGCGAAGTGGGAGAAATACAAAATGATGTAATTTTTCCACAACTACTTATAGAACGGTTAATTCTGCATGACGTTACGCAAAAAGCACCCAAAAATGTACCCTTTACTAGCAAAGTAAAATTTCGAGGACGAAAATTATGGAGAATTGAGAAAGCAACCGTTAAAGTTTGCCGACGCTGATACAATTCTTGGGAAAGATTTATCACCTCAAGTCCTTTTGATGCATTAACCGCGTGAAACTTTGACCCGAAATGTTCTATTAAAAAGTATTAAAAAGTCCATAGCATAAAGAATTGGGAATTGATACCTGACGTTTTTGACCCCAACTCAGGTTTTTCGCCATGTGAATTCCGAAAAATTCGCGCTCCTACCTTAAAGCATTAAGTATTGGCTGACAATGAGTTCGAAACTTAGAGTATTCAATTCATCCAATATAATGGCAAGGGTCAAGGACAGAAACATAGCGACGGTGTAAGTCGGCAATCACATAACTCGTTCGTGGAGTCTGAAAATCTCCGCTTCTATGTTATTTTTTTAAAGGAGAACAAATTTACCTACTTCATTCCTTGAAGTTTTTGCAGAACTTGGCACAGAGAAGAAAAATCACGGCAGTTTGAAAGAATCGCCGTTGAGTAGTTTTCCGTTTAAAAAATAAAGTATGACAGGAAGACAGCAACGTCGCAAACCGAGTTATGTGATTGCCGACTTACACTGTCGATCGGTTACAAAAAAACTTACCATCTAATGATAGAAAAGCCGAAAACTATTATTTTAATTGCGTTTTTTCACGATCTCCGTAGTACTTACCATTCTTTTCATTTTTCTTTTTCCCATTTATTTCCTAAGAGGAACTGGAAACGAACCAAAATTATCTTGTAAAATTTTCAATAAGTATTTTTTGATCAGATTAAACATATCACGAAATTTTTAGAAAATTTTACCTTCATCGGTTTTCTAACAAATTGCAATATAATGAGAGGGCTGCAACGTAGCAAACCGACGTGATTTCCGACGTTTAAAACTAATTTTTAATATTTTTCATTTTAAAATCTTTCTATACGATTTGATTATACCCACAATTTTGAATTAGCCCGCCGAGTTTTGAATACCTCTACTTTTTGCGCTATGAAGTGGTCACGTGTTGACAATCTGCTGGCAATAAAAGTATTTTGTTAGCTAAGAAGAAAAAATTGTAGGTATATTTCCTTCCGAAAATACTATAAAAAATAGTTCGCGTTATAATTTGTTTTTGGAATGTTTTTCTTAAGACAAATTTTACATTATTGAACACTATAGCTTTAACTTGTTTCAATCGCATTACATTTTTCCGCACCATGATGTAGGTTGCAGATGGTTGCAGACTTGTAATTCAGCGCAGTGTTGTTTTATCAACGAGTTTATGAATTTTTCACTAGCTATCATTAGCTATCATTTGCCCGTAAATCTCATTCAAGATTTCATTAATTCATCAATAGGGAAGACCGTAATAATTATTTAGCCTCCAGTGAATGTTGAGGAGTGAGTATCAACACTCAAAATTTTCTTGATTCGCGAAAAATGAATAATAAGCACCACCTCACAAGCCATGCAACACTGTAAGAATCAAGGTTTGTTTTGGTTTTTGGGTTTTTGGTGCGTATCAGGAATTTTGAGGTTATCGATATCATGAATTTTTCATTTTTCGTGGCTCTTGTCATCGATTTTCTCTCTCCTGTAATCGTTTTTTTCCCAGCCCTAAGCCCTGGAAAGTGACAATTTTTTTTTTTCAATCTCTTCCTTTTCTAGGGGCGGAAATACAAGTTATAAACAGCTCATCCATCTTCGGTGATAGAGTTGCTGTGATAAGTAACCTCCTGTTCATTCAAGTGCTTTTAAGTCCCTATCACTACATACTCAAACATTTTGTATCGTAATCAGTATTTTCGAACTTTTTATCGCATTTTAGCTGTAATATATGTGCTCATCGCATCATCCGTTCTCTCATCAGTATAGTAGTGCCCCTTGATTTGTTCGCTACACAAACTCAATATCGGGTCACCATTTCATAGTCGACCGAGAGGGTTTAACACCTAAAGTAGAGATCGTAAAAGAAATTAATCTGAAGACTCTAAATGAATAGAATAGTATTCACTCTCTTGTTGACCATCAAACTTCACGGATCCTGTTTAAACGACCTGCAACTGTTCATCGCCAACTGACGAAACATCCGAGTTGTGTCTCTCAAGACGCAGCAGTCTATTGAAGCTTATTCTCTAGAGGGCAGAGGCATCTAAAATTAAAAAAAATACAGACTCAGAGCCTAGTGTTGCACTATTTTGAACCAATTCCAAGCAGCCATGTATTGTCTGCAATGGCTCATTCCAGTTCTCCTGATACCGAAGCCTGTCAACCCAGAAATGCTGCAGACACATGTCATGTTCATGGTGTTACACTTGGCTGGATTTTTCCTAGAGCGCAAGCCATGTACAATTTGCTCCTTGCTGTTCCTTGTGACGGTAAGTGGATGTGAAACAAAGTCATAGATCGAATTCGATACATCAAACAGGTTAGATTGTATCAAAGGCACAAAGACGGAGTGCTCGTATCCAAAAGCACGGTGACAAAGTGAAGCCTGGTTTGGCGCTGGGTGCTAGTGTGAGTGTGTAAATGAGCGCAGGAATCCATGGTGGCAAACGGAAATTTGATTCGAACTTGTCCTCTTGATTTTTCTACAGTTCTTCTTCTGAACATATTTTAAATGCCTTCAACGAATATATTAAGAAAGTTGGGACTGCGACTTTTTATAATACACTTGCCTTTTCTCAATAATAGGCCGTAATCTCAGATAAATTTAGTTTTTCTTCTGCCCATGGTGGTCCTGCCAGTTCAAACAGGCCGTTTCAGTCCTAGATGACCGTTACTCCCAAATGAAATAAATCTGTGGAAGACGGACCATAACTAACTTAAAGTTAAAAAAATATGAGTGGACGAATGAATTTGGGCCAAAATCAACCTAGAATATCTTGTTTCCGCAATTTTATTTAGCTCCCGCCCTACATTTAAATTTCAAACTTGTCCCGATTTCGCCACCAATCCTCTAGCCAATAGTAGAGGTGGTTGAAAAGAAGCTTCATTTTTTGCTTTTAGCGCTCTGTCTTTATATCTTTGGTTGTATCAATGTCGATCGGTTCAATATGTAAACATAGCCTCAAAAGACAATTGAGTAATCTGACAGAACAGGTTTTTTGTAATAGATTTTTGATTTGTATGAGTTGAGTAATGATTGTAATGAGTGAATTGACTAAAATCAGAAATCTCTACTTTGAGCTTTTCTGATACGTATACCAAGCCTTGCCTTTGAGCATATGTTCTATTGTTTAGAACCAAACGATACATCAAACCACTATCGAATACAATCCATTCAAATATAGATAAAAGTAGGTGCAGTGCACACTATGGCACCTCGAGAATATAGAATAAAAATAGATAGGGAAATGCGGGGACAAGGCTGAAAAAACACACAATAAATACAAATCACAGGACGTTTTGACAAGTCTCCCGGTCATTATCAACCGTCAAAAGAATTAAAATATCTCAAAAGAAACAAAAGCTAAAAATAATGATACTGATCCCTGGTCATGGTGGCTAGAAGACCTTTTAGGTTTTTTTTTTTAGATTTTTTAATTCTTTTTGACAGTTGATGATGACCGGGAGCCCGGTCAAAACGTCACGTGATTTGTAATTATTGAGTGTTTTTTCAGCCTTGTCCCCGCCTTTTCCTGTCTATTGTCATTCAAATATGTGTTGTGGACCATAATGATCAAAATATTTTCAAATCTTCTCAAAAAATACAGATAAGATGATATACTATTGATTTTTTTGTATCATAGAAAATGAGAGATTTAAGTACAACATGATTTTATTTATCTAACTGTAATGTGTCCTTACATTGGACTAGATCTCTTCAAGCAACAACAGTTGGGTGTTTCGAAAAGTGCTGAATTTACCTTCTTGGCTGATGGGAAACAATCTAGGTAAATCCAATCTTGCATGTAATCTGTATCAATGTGTTTCAAAATCTCAGCCGCTACTTACTGTATTCATTGAAATGAAATCAAAGGTGATTTAATTTAATTTTTTCTTTTTCGATCAGTTTGATTACTGAAACCCAAGGAATGTTTTTAATTGAAAATTGTTCCATTTTGTCGAATACCTGCTGCCTGGCACCTATTTGAAACATGTTTTTCTTTATTTGTTCTTAAAATAGGTTTTTGTCATCTGCTACTCAGGGATTGGTAATTGTATTTTCTGGAATGATTCGTGTCAAGGCATATCATGTGAAAGTGGTTAAGTGCCAATGTTTGTCAAACATTCAATCTCCTTCGCTCAGGACACAAGGGTGACTGGAACATTCTTCAACCTCACACATGAGCTGTGATATATAGATAAGCCAATTTCTTTTCTGTATGTAAATTTTTTTTTATTATTATTATTACTTTCTTTTTTCTTTTTTTCCTTCTTTTTTTTATATCTTATATCAGCCGATGCCCTAAAACTCAGTCTGCCAGTGACCACTTAAGTTTAATCAGTTTTAATTGTAAATTGAGAAAAGGAATTTTATCTTAAAATAAAATCTATAGGAGTACAACTATTCATCCAGCAACAAGCATTAAAGGTCTGTTACTCAATGTTTTTTTTTTAAACCAGAGTATCAATTGTTGATTTGTTACAAGTCTAAGTATTGCGTATTGTGAAAACTTTGATATTAGTTCCTGAGGAATTCATTTGATTCCTTCATATTTCAAGAAAAATTGATAGCCAACTCTTCATATTATCTGGTTTGTCCAACTACCTGTTTTGCAGAGCATAATATTAATTAGTGTTTGGATTTATTTCATTCAATGAAAAGTGGAATGAAAACTTAGTTGCTTCTTCTAAAGCTTGATCGGAAGCAAGAGAGAAACATTCCATTATGCTCAATTTATATCGAGAACATTTATGCATTTGAAATGTCCCTTTTTAGTCGTGCGGCGAAGCCGTATAGACTCTAGGTTTCGCCGGAGGCTGAAAAGTGTCCACACTTTTAGGCTAAGTCCAAGAGGAGAATTTTCGAGGAACCAAGTAACATATGAAGTATTGATATCGGTGCATTTTGGCCCAATGGAGATGTTACATGTGCGAGGCATTTGCAATNCTTTTCTCATATAGGGTGTGCAATAACTAGGAAAGTTTGACCAGAACAAGATAACTGCTTCCCTTTTTTCTTCCTAGACATAGTATCATGTCTTCTCATGTATGTCCGCCACTAAAAACTAGATTTCAGTTTTTCATTTTTGTTGGGTGGAGGAACATAAATGTAATTCTGCCCCAATAATGGTGGAAACGAATGAGCACTCTAATCTTTCAAAATCTTGTACTGTAAAGTACCCCTTTCCAAGGAGGCTTATAAATATCCCCTCCTCTCCCTCTCTTACCCTCCAAAAAAAATATAATGTTCGAATGGAATAGGTGTAAATGCAAAGAAAATTCTCCGAAACTTCAAAATGTACCATTTGCCAGTCTCCCGNGGGGGGGGGGGGGGGGGGGGGGATTAACTGAAGCAATTTGGAGATGCTCGAAGGATCGTTTAGTGTTTTTCACCAGTACCTCATTTCAGTTTTTTCTTAATTTCCTCTATCCTAGTTCAGAGCTAAAATCTTTATCACTAGCATATAATTCAAGAATCATGCATATTATGCATGCAAGAATTAGTTCAACTGCATTTTAGATTGACTAATTTACTCTTGTATTTTATTTTTCCATCAAAATGAAAACAAAATGACTCTTTTACATTTTCTGTGAATTTCTCCTCAGCTCCCAAAGAATCTGACCACATAATTTCTTCTAATCAAGAAATGGCTGAATTTTGGTTAGACCTCTAGTAAAAAAATAAAGCACTACAGTAAATCGGGCAACAAGTAATGTAGTTGGGTTGATTCTGGTCAACTGGCCTACTAAAAATTGCCTCTGAGTATTCTTATGATGGTAAAATCTGAGTGATACCAATCAATCTTCCTTGAACTGATCTAAATTATGTCTATTACTGTCTAGACATCAATAAGCAATTCATAATTACAGTAAAAACTACGAAAAATCTTATATATGCTAAAGCAACACTGGGTGGAGGTATAATCTTTTGAATCTAATATGTGACTGGATCTGTGTAAAAGGACCTAATCCTCCCCTAAAATTTTCCGCAACTTTTTACAAAAGCATGGAGGAAGAAAATAAAGGAATTTTAGCAAAAGTTTGATCCTGAGGCGGAAAAAATGAAGGAGGTACAAGCCCTGAAGCCTGAGTTCCTAGACAAAAACTCAGAGGTTGTAGAAAAATATGGTTTCAGCTTTTAAAAAAATTAAGGAAAATTTTCTTCCTGAAGATGAAGTCCCTTTTCACAGATCTGGTCACTTATATAAAGGGATAAGTTTACAATCTCCGTTGTGGTAGTTTTGTAGTGTCCAGTTAACTGGTACTACTGAAGCACTGACAGTCTAGTGTCTAGTCTATTGTTCTATAGTTTGCTGTTTCACTCATTGATCGGCTAATCAATAGATACGTGCCAAATGAGCACCCGAATGTGTATCAATATCAATGTAGTTCCAAGTCCAGTAACTTCGAAGGATTTTTGTGCCTGGAAGCTTTTAACTCAAATAGGCATTAATTATCAACTTAAAATTTCAGTTCTGAACTTCTTGAAGATTAGTATTTAATGACTTTCCAATTTTTCTTCATTATTTCTCCTTTTCTTTTTGTTAACTACACACCGTGTATTTATGAAATGTAGTTCAGAGAGATTTTTTTGCTCCCGCAGCTATCTTTCTGTGGATATAGACCATTTGAATCATGACTTTCCTCAGTTGGAGGATGAGGACATTTTTTAGACTTCATCACTCTTTTGTTGGCAGTTATTGTTTTTTTTTTGACATCCTTTTTCAAGTCATTTTTCAATCGATAGATGTATGGACTCTCGTTTCTCTGTGAAGAATGTTCTCTCTAGAATGTGTGCAGAACCGTATGAATATTGATTTTTGATTTCTTGCAAAGATCAACATTTTGCTGTCTGAAATTAGCAAAAAAACTCCTCCAAATTTTTTTCTCTTTTTTTCTATTGACCCAGCAAATTAAAAATATCAGCTGATTTTTATTCAGAAAAACATTTTTAATTAGGAAGAGTTTGCGGGAGTTGTTAGAAGAGTAGGTTGTGGAATAGTTCATTAAATGAACAGATTTATGTAGGATCGGCGTAACTGCAGTTTTTGTTGCCTTATTTTCTCTTTCAATTTATTTTTTCAACTGAGAACTAAACTACTAAACGCCTTTTAACTCATTGTGAATTTACCCTAGAATATGATGATTGTACCCAAAAATTTCAAGTTTTAGTGTTGCTTAGTTTTTGGTTAAAAAGAAAACATCAAAGAAAATTAGGCAACGTTTGTTGTAGTTGGGATGATTTCCGTTAAATCCGTCCTAATAACTTCGTTCACTTCTACTTCATTTGAAAAATTTCGAGTTGGAAATTAAATTTAGTCCGCATGTCTTCTTAGGATTTTTCTTATTAGGAATCGTATTGGGAATCGGTTAGGTATACAATTTTTGTGTAAAAAATTCCTGTTTATCAAGAGCGAAACTCTAAACCACTTTTATAAAGTAGGTATCTGCAAAGTATGTCGCCTAAGTTTACTGTGTAAGGTTTTGTTGTGATCATTACCAACTTAATAACCAAATGTGGTTTCCTAGTAATAGAACCGTGCTGTGATATGATTTAGGTAAGATTTATCCAAACTCCAAATTTTTACTGTACCACACTCTAAAATGGAAAAGTAAATAAAGAAAAATTGTACACAAAGATTGCCTTTTGACTACCAACTCTTTCCATCTCACTCCTAAGGTCTTCTGAACTCGATAATTTTATCGCCAAAATGCCCAGGGGCTGTCTTGAGAGATTTTTCCTAATTTTTTGTCTCCCCTTCCTTCCTCTTTGTACGCAAGGCCAACTTATAACCTCTTTTTGAGGCATTCATGAAGCAGGCATAGACCTTCCCTCTGTTTATCTCCAGCCTCCCCCCCCCCCCCCCCACGTCATACTTGGAAGATCCCTTTCAATCGAAATAATTTTAATGGAATTTCCATCGCAGCCTGTAATTTTGACTTCACCTATAAAACTGGAAAAATTAGTTTGAAACAGTATGGACATTAATTGGCACAATGAATTCAAACCATTTTGCCCACACAGGATATGTAATTCTAAGTCTAGGGATTGTTCATTCCTCTTAAATATTTTTTTGTGCTGAAAGCACAGAAGTCTTGAGTATCACTTTCCCTGATGAATTAGTAAAATATACAAGTAGGAAATTTGTATCTCAAGTTTCACAGGAGTTCAGATCAATTATTATTAATCTGGTATAGGTAGTGCATTCATCACTTGAAGAGATCAATTCCTGTCTCAAGTTTTTTATCATTAACTGGACGAATTCAACCAGAACGAACCATGGTTACCTTTTTACGTTCATTGCAAAAATCTGGTACTCCATGAACATTCGAGAGTTTCCAAATTTCCTTCGATAAAATGTATATTTTTGAGGCAAGTTATGAATATTTTTCCTTGAATTTTTCAGGAACTTTAGGTGAAATTGCGAACAAAATTATATGTAAAATTGGAAGAAAAATATTCATATGTTCACCAGGAAATTTTTGTTTTATCAAAGGATGTTTGGCAACGCCTGAAGATTCATACGGCGTTTTTCCTTATATAGCACGGCAGTGTAGCTCCTGTACCTACCTTTCAACGAAAAATCTCCACCTTCCTTTACTTCTTAATTTATTAGGCATCTATACCTATTCATAATTCATGTTTTTTCAGTGCACCTATCCATATTTTCGTACGAGTTCGTTTTTGGCGTGATATGGAATTCCATTTCTTACATTTAACACTCATTCGGGAATAGGTATCTTCACCCGAAAAAATTAAAACCTCAATGCTTCGAAAAGCACCGATTATTACTTTCATTCAAATGCACGCGTTACACAGACGTGGATAGCGTCAATGCATGTTCCGTGAATATTTTTTGTGGTGCGAAAATTCGCCTGCATTTGGAGGGTTAGGCAAAAGCGGACTCACGAACGTTAGAATAGTCGTATCAAAGTTCTATGCCCCGCCGCGGCCGCGCCGAGATTCATATTTTTCTAATTTGATCATCTTAATGACCATCTTAATGATCAACTGCAGTCATTAAGTGTTGTGACGCTTCTTTTTTATTTTTTCTATCTACTATGTTCGCTTGAAAAGTATAACATGTATTATTATTCTTTGTTCTCAAAATAATTCGCTTTGTCTCTGCAAGAGCTCTTGGAGTGCTTGCTGTTTTAAGGATGTAGGTAATTCAATTCGTTTGAAATTGTGAAATTCAGAGAAACTTAATTGCTTTTCCAAACTTTATTTCTTTATTCACTAATTAATGCTTGTGTTTTGTCTAAATATTGCGGGGATTTTCGTCAAATCATAAATCGTCTGATAAAGAGAAAAAAACCTGAAATCTGTAACTGATTTTGAGCAAAAAGTCATTGATACCAAAGAGTGATGGAAAGTTCCTTGACCATTTTCCACAACAATGAAGCGCCCAAAAATGTTGAACCAACCAGTAGTAACAGTGGTTTGTAGTTAAAAAAAACTATTTAGAAATTACAGTTTGCTACATTCAAGGTACCTACGAAATTGCTAACTCTACGCTCTTCATTGGGTAATTATTTCAAAGCTCCTCAGCTCTCTTTCAATGAAGTAAATATGTCAGATATTCCGAAGTGTTACAATGATGATACGCATTTATCAACTTTTTGCCATCGATATTTCGAACGATTAAAAATAGATTCTGAGTGAACAGTCGCATATTCCTTG